AGAATCATGTTTGTTACTTCCTAGCTCTGTAGCAATACATAAAACGGAGAATAAGAATTGTTTGAAGACTAAAAGAAAACTTGGACGCAAACTCGCTCGCATAGCTGAATAGTATGGATGGCCAGTTCGCGGCACGCGTGCCACAGTGTGGCACGGCGAAGTTTAAACAGTCGCACGAGAAGACTTATTGAAAAATTAAAAAAATTGAAAAAATAATAATGTCATCTTCAGGAACTTTGTCAAAATCCATAAAATCCCTACTTATACGCTATTGAATACAACAGCGCTGGAAAGCGGCACTACTTGACACCAGTACAACGATGCGGTAAGACATCATGGTTATGGGACAATGGTTTGAGTTGTCTTGCTTTGGCGCTTATAGAAACTATGGTGAAGGCTTCTTATGAACTTTCTCCGTTGTTAGCCCGCAAGAAGAAACCCTGTTCTGACGGAGAGGAGAGAATAAAAAATAGCCTTTTAATATTTGCCCAAAATGTCGGTGATATAAACGTAAAAAATATGGTTGATAGCTTTGTCTAGAAATACCGTATAGATGACATGGGCCAGGATATTGGCACACACATTGTCTCTGGACTACAATATTCAAATACTTTTCATTAACTTTGGATGAAAGCTGTGACATCACAGTCAATGTGCAGTTAAGCATATTTGTGCGTTACACGAACAATAATTTTGATATTGTGAAAGAACTTCTCCATTTGCGCAATTGGTTTTTACTACAGGTGAGGACATTTTTAAAGAACTTAAAAATGTAACTGAAGTTAACAAAGTAGAGTGGACAAAATTAGATAGTGTTTGCACAGATGGAGCACGTTGCGTGGTTGTCAGGATAAAGGATTGTGTTACATTGCTTGAAAATTATTTCGGAAGAAAAGTTTTTAAGTATCATTGCATTATCCATCAAGAAGCTCTTTGTACCAAGACTTAAACCTGTCTTCTGTTGTTGACCCTGTAGCGCGTTCTATCAACAAAATACGAGCTCGAGCTCTGAATCGACGACGATTTCGTGAGCTTTTTCCGGAAGAAACGGAAGAGGATGGCAAGTTACTCCTTCATTGTAGTGTGTGCTGGCTTTCCAAAGGAAGTGCTTTTGCGAGATTTTGGAATTTGAGGGAGTGTGTTTTAAAATATCTGGAAGAAAACAATGAACTGCAAAGTGAGTGCTTGCTACTCAAAAATGAATATTGGCTATGGGATTTAGCTTTTCTCAACGATATTATGGGACATTTAAATAATTTAAATTTAAGATTACAGGGAAAACGTTGTATTTTTCCTACCCTAGTTGATCATATATCTTTTGTGAACAAACTTTTCCTTTTTTGTCTCGATTTTGGAGGAAAAAAAAATCAACGCATTCACATTAGCTACCAAAGTCAATAATGCTCCGAACTAGGATATATTTAAAAATTTAATATCCATTTTGCAGTATTCATTCAGTGCTAGGTTTGATGATTTTCAAGGTTATAAAAAAATGCTGATCTTTCCACAAATCCTTTTTCAATTTCTCTGCAAGACGTTAATTGTTACCCACCTGAAATCTAAATCGAAATTATTGACTTACAGCACTATACTACGCTGAAAATTTTCATTTTCAGTGTAGTACGGTGCTGTAGGTCAATAATTTCAAATATTCATTTTATACATAACCCAACTGACTGAACCTTTAAAAATGTTTATTAACAATAAAACTTAAGTTTGTACTTTTGTTTTATTTATTATATTATTATTTAAATTTCAACTATTCAGACTTACATGAAAAAAATGTGCTATTTGCGTAAAAATTCCATAATCAGCCTATAAATAACATTTTTTCACTTTTTTATATTTTTTAGTATGTTGGAAAAGTTGGAAGTGGCACGCATAAGTTTTTTTCCCCAGATAGTGGCACTCTTCCCAAAAAGGTTGGCCACCCTTGCTTTAGAGTTACAGGAATATGAATATGACGTTAAGCATAAAAAAGGAGCTACCAACATACTATCTGACATTTTATCTAGAAATCCAATCTAAGAATTGAACGTACAAATGCTAAACATGGAAAGGAGAATCTCTAGTGAAATTGAACGTCATCAAAGCGACGACCCAAAATTAGACAGCATAATTAGAATATTGAAAGACTGAAATCTCTCACTAGAAGAGCAACGTAAGAGAATCTCTACACTTCTACAAAGAATCGATTTGTGTTACAGAATAATATCACTATGATGATCAAGATAGAAATCATTTACAACTTGTTGTACCAGAAAAGCTCAAACCTGAAGTCTTGAAAGCCAATCACGACAATGTTTTAGCTGGCCACTTTAATGCAGAGAAAACCTTGTCGAGAATCCTAGATCACTATTGGTGGGAACATATAGTGAAAGAGGTTAAAAGTTACGTTAACAGTTGTCAAGTGTGTCAAATGAATAATGATTATCCATCGAAAAGCAAAGCTTTCTTACAAACAAAGGACGTACCATCACGACCCTTTGAAATGTTAGGTCTTGATCATATTGGCATACTTCCATCCAAATCGAGAAATTCAAAAAGATGGGTTTTGATGTGCATAAATTATTTTATCCGGTATTTAATAGCTATCCCCGTGAATAGTTTAAGCACGGAGACCACATTGAGAGTTTTACAAGAGAATGTATTCGATGTGTATGTATTTCCAAAAACGATCATTTCAGATCAAGGAACGTCTTTTGTGACCGAAGATTTTTGAGAACTTTCTGGAGGACCAACTTTCCGAACTTGCGCTTTCCACTCCCAAGCAAACGGACTTGTGGAGAGAACAAACCGTACTCTAGAAGACATCTTTAGGAAAAATGCTCACGACGATATGACAGCTTGGAAAAGACATGTATCAACAGCAGTGTTTGCTTATAACACCACAAAACAAAGTCCTTTCTATTTACTCCATGGTTTTGAGTCAACACCAGAAATACAAAGATTTGGAGAGGGACAAACTGAAAGAAGCTGAAAATAGATTGACTGAGCTGTTTATTAGTCGAGTACAAGCAGTTGAAAATCTTGCTCAAGCTCTTGATCAAAATAAAGCATCTTATGTTTAAAAAAAAAAACAAGTAAAACGGCAAAACCGTATTTGGGACAAGACTGTCTCGGAGACTCGCTACTAAGCGGAATCATTTTGACACTGAAGGCGAGTCTCGTTCATATTCTCCAATATTCTTTGGTATCGCTGCTTTTGGGTGCGATCGTTCAAACTTCGCCGGCCATGACCACGAAATCCACGATGCATTTTCGATGAAATTAACCTATCTAATTTCGAAATTTCTCTCCGTTGCCTGTCGGCCCGGATTGAATTTTTGTCGATGCCTAACGAAAATTTCCCGTATTTGAAAAAAATAATCGTGGCTATTGTATCGTCCGAAATTATTTTCTTACTTTGCGCGAACAATATACAGTTTAACCCGATTATAACGTCATTGGATGTAACGACAACCCTAATATAACGTCAAATTTTTATCGGTCCCACGATTTTAACTATACTTAATAGTGTTAAAAAACCTACTTGTAACGTCATAAAATTCTGTCTTAATGTCATATTTGAAGCACTCCCAAATTTACAAAATTAGATTACAAATTTTATTTAACAAAGAAATACGTGTTCAGTTTTAGGGTCAGAGTCCACTTCGTAGAACCGACTATTGGTGGTACTCTCACCACCTGACTTCGGTTTGCCTGTTTGTAGAGAGAGTCGCCATTTTGTATTTTATTTTGACTCGGTTCTCAGTCCCCCGAGTACCTACAAGTCTGGTTTTTTTATGCGTGCATGACTTGGGCACCTAATACTCTGTGCCAAATTGCAACTTCTGACATGTACTCCTTCATAAGCTGGTAACATAGCAGGCAGTACGATTTTATAAACAAAACATAGTCTTGTCAATAAGCACGAATCTAAGAATTAAGGAACGTGACTTAGTGTTTCGTTTAAACAGACATAAATTTCAGAGCAAATGGAAAGGCCCATGTATAGTAAAGAGGATAGTTAACTCCGTCACTTGTCTCATTGAGGGAATTCAAGATGATGACAACAGGATCGTACATGTGAGTCAGATTCGTCCTTATCTAAGAACCGATCGAGGACTACGTGCAAATGAAGCTACGAAAAAAAAACTGTTGCTAATGTCTTTAGAAAATAGAGAAGAATTTTAAACAAAAGCTATTGTTTTGTCTAAAAGCAGTCGTAGCCGAGATGTAAGAAGTTTTTAAGAGAAAAAAAAAAGCAGACGGCACTAGTTTTTGAGACGAAGAAGAAAGATGGTTGCCTAATCGTTGTAATTAAATTTTGTTCAGTAGTTTTTTATCATTGCCTTTATCTTATTCGAAGCAGCAGTACACTCCATAAGTAGGAGTCGTACATCATGTTTTGACTATACTATAGAATTTAATGTCTAGAAAACGTCGCAGAAATAGCTTGCAAGTAGGCGCCAAACATCCTAGACATGGCACTAATATTTCTACATTCAAAATATATTCCGACGTCAAGGAAATCTCTCCAGAACTCGGAAGAATTTTTTATTCAATGTACTTTCGGAGGAACACTCTTTTGAGAGAAACAAACGGCAGATTTATTATTTTCTCTGACATTAAATTACAGTTTGGGAAAAAATATTATGTAATTTTTCGCGTATAGAAAATATGCGTGTGCATCCGAAGAAATGTAAATGGAGAATGTATAAAACATCCAAACGGAGAATAATTTTAATTACATTTTTTATTGTAATTAAAAAATCAATAATGCAAGATTTAATTCACCAGTTTTGTAATAAATTTAAGTTTAAAATGATGATAAATTAAATTTATATATATTAAAAAGGTCACGATTGATCATTAAATTCATTTTTTTCCACTTGATATTTTTATAAATTTTAACTACACCTTATTCGAGTTTGTTCTGTAAATTTCTAAACATCTCCCTTTAAGAATTATATATATATATATATATATCTTAAATTAAATCAATTAAAGATAAACAATTTATAGAGAAAAATTCTTTATTCACATTAGCTAAATTTTAGCTACATCACATTCGGCAAGCTTAACATACAGCATCAGAATTACATAATTTATGAGGTGACCGATTTAAAATGACATTCTGGAGATCCAATGCCTGAATTAAATACAGATAAATACAACCGAATAACGAAAATGGCAGTTTTACAAAAGACAGACCAGATATTCGACAAATGATCCGGACGATTGTGTTTAGAACAGTCCATGAAATCCGAAATGTGACAGAATAAATACTACATTCTGGGCTTTTGATTTCTCAAATTTAATTTATAATATATAATCAAACAAAACCCGATAGCTAGCGACATTGATACAAAGGACACGAACGCGATTCTTGCCTCGAATCATAAATAATTTGGCATTTTGCAAAAGCTTAAAAAATATTGGTGAATATTTTTAATTCTTTCGTTTATGGATATGATTGGTGAGAATGGAACTTGCAGTTGGAATCTATAAATAGAATAAAATACAAGTAAATATGCTACTTGTAAAATATGTGAAAAATTTAGAATTTCTTACTCTCCAACTTCCGTCGTTCGTTAAAATATGAGTGAGTTACATCATGCTTCGGCTTCGGATAAGATATTTATCGAGGCGACTGCCTTACTCTCACCAGCTTCGTTCTTTACACACACTGTATACTGGCCGACATCCGTAGATACGGTGGATGGGATACTGAGAGATATTTTGTTCTTTTCCTTAGAAAATTTATATCTTGGACTAGAAGTATCTAAAGTTTTTCCATCTTTAAGCCATTCCACTGAAATTAAATGTTAAGTTTCGTTATAATAGTCAAAGAGCAAACATTGGTTATTAATTAATTAATTAATATAAAAGGAATTTTTGGATTCCTCAAGCAATGATTAATTAATCGTAACTTAGTAAATTTTTAAATTTAAAGATGGCGATATCATACCCGATTTGGCAGCCTTTGCTGTGACGGCCGTTAATGTGGCAGCTTCTCCTTTAGCAACGGTTATTGACTGGGGATAAGTAGAAAATCTGGGACCTTTTGGTTCTTCTCCGGGTACTAAAATAAAAAATTAAAAATATTGAAAGCAATTATATAACGTGATCGTAATTAAGAGCCGGATAAATGCTCACAGAACAGAAGGTAAATTATCCGCAATTAACAGAGACCAAGAGATTATAATACGTGGTAGATGGCTCCACACATAATTTTAAACATTATTTTTAAATAAAATCTCATATTAATCTCTATCCCTTTTTATCTTTTTATAAAGGTCAGTTTTGAAAAAACTGTAGACGCCAATAACGAGTAAAATTTTCATTGTCTGATATGACACATGATCCTACTATTTTCCCACCTTCTTAATCTTTTATACTGTATATGAGGCATTGGTGAAATTAAAATCAGCAATGAGTTGTCCAGTTTTCCTGGCAACATTTAAAATTTTGGTAGCGCCGTCTGTTATCGTATTTTATTTTAAAAACTTTTTATATATTTTATTATAAGATGGCAAAAAGCTTAATTTTTGGGTAGAGATGAATTTTATTAAAAAAAAATTGTAAATGCTAATAACGAGTAAAATCGTCATAAGTCCGACCCTACTGTAGATATAATGACCCCCCCATTATCTCAACATTTAATCACCAAAATTTAATACTGTAGTATCAATCCTTTAATAAACAAATCTCCCTGAAAAATTTCAGAAATTCTCGGCAAAAAGCACGAGAGATATTAAGCTTCAAAGAGGGTGAACAAAAGCGTGCCCCCACATATTAACATCCAAACAAACAGAAATTATCCCTGAATTTTTTTCGCATTTCTCGACGTTTCAAGGTGTCCTAAGTACAAAAATGTAAAAATCTGGGAGGGGTCATTTTTTTGCCAGATAACCATACTTTCCCTCTGTTATAACAACCTTCCCGGAAAAGTAAAAATTATCCTATCAAGTTTCAAAATTTTTGGTTCATCCAATTCCGAAATATAATGGAAAACGGACGCCAACAGACAGGGTTTTGTGTGTATTTTCTACATTTTTGGGTTCCTTCAGTGTCAAAACGTCGAAGGGGGTTCAAAATTTGCTGGATCACCATACTTTCCCTATATTACATTCTCTAACAGCGGGAAAGTAAAACTGTTTCAAGTGTCTCAACATGTTGAAACGTCCTTACATCAGCGCAACACAAAGCATAGAAACAAGCCAAAATTACAATTGTCACAGGTAAGTTCTGTCAATAGTTGCACTGAAACTAACTTTAGTAGCGTTGGCGATATATAATTGGAAGGAAACATTAATATTAACTTCAACACTAAACCTATAATTAAAGTTTATTGTAGTTAATGACTTAATAATTTGTTGATCATTATGAAAAGATAATATGATTAATTAAGTTTATTCTATTATTTTCATCACAAGTTCTATATCAATTCTTGCTTAATATGTTTCTATCACATAATTTAATTTGCTATTAAACAACAAGCAAAAAACAAAACTGAATCATCTAAAACATGATTTTATATGATGATTTATTCATTTTGCTTTTTTATGAGATACAAGCCATACTGAGAATTGTTTTATATTTTTCTAAATTTTTTTATTTGCATATTAAAAAGTCACATTATTGTGTGATTGTAAAGTAAATTGTTATAATTAATCAAATTATAATTGCATATTTTATTTAAAAAAAGGTACACACTTACCACTGACATCTAACATACAAGTTGTGAAAGCTTCTGCTTCATTATCAAATGCATCACAAGTGTAGCTGCCAGTGTCTTCAGGATAAATTTCTGGTATTATGAGTTCATACACATCGCCTTCATTCTTATATTGGAAATCTTTGCTGGACTTGATTTCTTTATCGTCGTGCAACCACACTACTTCAAACTTAGGTGGACCTATGTTAAAAATCATCATCACTCTTTTATCTCTCGTCATATACTAAGCATTACTTAAGTCAGGGGTGCACAACCTGCGGCCCGCGGGCCACATACGGCCCCCTATCAATGTTTATGCGGACGGTACAGGCCAAATCCCTTCTTTCGAAGTTCCTAAGTTTAGAACTTTTTCCCTTTCACAAAGTCATTAGCACCCAACTGTTTTATGACTTTCCCTGAGGTGAGAAATGGGGGATTGTTCTATAAATAAGTCTATTTTTAGCTAACACTTTCTGCTTTAGATATCGAATATTTTAAAATGATGTTAGAACGTCATTTCCGATGTTATCGGGAAGTTTCTATTTTGGCGGGAAATCTTCAATTTTATGCTTCGGAAAACTTGCCTATTCGTCTAAATAGCGTCAAATAACAAAAATAAGTGAAAATAGCGCTGAAAAACCATGAAAATAACGATTTTTTAGCATTTGTTTACATTCTAGATTCTGATTGGTATAGTCGAATTTGAATCAATCTTTTCTGAAAAGACGCTTATTCGTCAACCTAATGTCATTCAAACTAGAAAAAAACTAACCAGAGTTCAAAAAGGAATGTACAAAAAGCTATAAAACCAATAATTTACAACAATATCTCTCCATAGACAAAGAATAGAAAAAAAATTTTTCACATCAAATTTATTATTATTAAGTTGGACCAAGAAAATTAATACTGTAGTTGGAATAGAGTCATTACGACTAAAAGGAAGCCATTTGCATTAAAATATTTTGGATTTAATAATTATTACAAACCGCGTCAAGCCATAAACTTGTCAACAAAGAGGGTTGTAAAATGATTCCGTGTAGCTAGAAAGCTGCGGTTTTTTTTGTTTGAAAGAAAACAGATATATTTAGGTTATTTAAGTAGTAAATTAATTGGAACTTTTTATTTACTTTTATTTTTACATTCTTTTTTTCGTAAATTTAAAATTAAATTATTATTTTTAATTTTTATTTTATTTGAAATTTAACAGTCGTAAACTGTGATATATTTGTGACAGAAAAAAAAAAAAAACAGATTGATTCTAGCGCCAATTTGAAACGAGATATCGCAATTTTAATAATTATATTTAAAATATTCAGATTTTCCACTGCACTGTGTTAATCACTTTTGATTCATTTCTGAACACGGGGGTAAAACTGACGGGCCATAAATATAATTTAGGTAAGAATGGTAACCACATTTATGATGGATTAGTGTCCTGCACCTGGCATGTTGACGATCTGACTCACAAATTCTGAGAAATGGTGGAGACGCCCGGACAGGGGTCGAACGAATTAAGACCTGCCTGGCCACGTGTGCGTAATAGTCTTCTGTCCCCGCCTCTTTAGTCTTTGGTCAGAGTGGATACAGAACAAAGCACGTGGTAGTCTAGCTTGCCTTATCTCAAACATGATTTGTTGCGGGCCTCAGAATTTTCGGCACAATGAGACATTGTTTTGCAGAGTGAACAGTATGGCGCCGGGCATTAAACGCAAGGTCAATCGCGAGAATCATCAGTTTCAAGAAGTGGAAGTGTGGACTAACAAGTACTGTTTTGTGCAACAGAACAACAGCATTATTTGCCTTTTGTGCAATGGAACAATAGCAGTGCCAAAAGAATTCAACCTGAAGCGACATCATGAAAGCCAACACAAGGATTTCCTTCTGCAAGGTACGGAACGCAAACGGAAAATCGAATCGTTACGACGATCACTAATCAGCCAACAAAATGTGTTCAAGAAACAATCTGGAGAATTGGATGCGGCTGTTGAAGCCAGCCTAGAAATATCTGCTTTAATAGCCAAGAATGGGAAACCTTTCACAGATGGCGATATGATAAAAAAGTGTCTTATCATCGCAAGTGAGAAGATGTGTCCTGAGAAGACAAAGTGTTTTCAAACAATCAGTCTTAACCGCATGACGATACAACGGAGAATCTCGCAAATTGCATCAGACATTTCTGGCCAACTTAATATTTTAGTTGCAAACTGTGCTTATTTTTCTTTGGCTGTGGACGAATCCACTGACATATCATCAACAGCACAAGTGATTGTGTTTATTAGAAGTGTTTCACTAGATTTTATTGTGAATGAAGAATTTCTTGGCATGGCATCACTTTCCGGACATACAACTGGTGCTGACTTACTTACTGGTTTATTGAGCGTTTGCAACAAATCAGCACTGGACTTTGACAAGCTATCCAGCATTGCCACTGATGGAGCACCATCTATGGTTGGATGTGAGAATGGCATGGTCACCTTGCTGAAAAACCACCTTGGGGACAGGCAAAAGGAGTTAGTCCAGTATCATTGCATAATTCACCAACAGCAACTTTGTGCAAAGAAGCTGGGATTTGAACGTCTGCTGAAAGATGTCTATGATACTGTGAACTTAATCCGCCGTCATGGACTCAACCATCGACTCTTCACATCATTTCTTGAAGAAATAGATGCTGATTATGCTGACCTGCCCACGTATACTGAAGTTCGTTGGCTGAGCAAGGCAACAGTCCTCAAGAGATTTGTGGAGCTATTGGGGCCTATTATCACTTTCCTCAAAGAACGGGGGAACACTACAAGGAATTTGGAGGGACAAAGATGGCAGTGTGATTTAGCTTTCCTTGCTGACATTACTGCTTATCTAAACGACCTTAATTTGAGATTGCAGGGAAAGATGCAACTTGTTTCTCAGTTGACAAGTAACATCAATGCATTTATGACCAAACTATCACTTTTCAAGTCTCACATGCAATCAGAGAACTTTACACACTTTCCACATTGCAAGGCCATGAAAGAGAAATACCCACATATGAAGATGGATTACTCTGACCAAGTTAACACCCTCCTTACATCATTCAATGAGAGGTTTGGTGAATTCCAGAAATACAAGATCTACCTGCAACTTTTTTCAACTCCATTTGATGTGAAAGTGGAAGATACCCCTCCAGATGTCCAACTTGAGTTGATAAACATCCAGTGCAGTGATGAATTGAAATCACAGTTTAAAAATTCTAATCTCCTCACATTCTACAAAGAACTGCCTGATACATCATTTCCAAAACTGAAAGACAATGCTCGATTTTGTGCAAGCATGTTTGGCAGTACCTTCCGTGTTTCCCCGAAAATAAAACACTATCTTATATTAATTTTTGCTCTGAAAGATGCACTAGGTCTTATTTTCAGGGGATGTCTTATTTTTCCATGAAGAATTCACATTTACTATTGAACAAAAAAATTCCCAAGTCGAACTTAGACGAGAGTGACGTATATCCGGTCATGTTGAACTGAACTTAAATAAAACCGAAGTGAACTTACAAAGTTCCGTTGGAGTGGACTTCCCACTCTTGCTTCAACTTAACCTTTTTATAGCGTCTACATCGGGCTCGATGACCAATTACTGCTTACTGAACCATAACACTATGCAAATATGATGTGGCGTGATTCCCGGCCGACCAATTAGTGATCACCAGCCATAACATTATGCAAATCTGTGATTCCAAGCCATAGTCTTATGCAAATCATGCCGTGTGGCGTGTTGTCTGCTGACCAATCAGTGGCTGTACTTTCAAAAAGCCAACGGCCACTTTCAACCTGCTGTCGATGACCATTACGAGTGAAAAAAAAAAAAAACTTTACTAGGTCTTACTTTCGGGGGGAGGCCTTATATTTAGCAATTCAGCAAAACCTCTGCTAGGTCTTATTTTCGGGGAAACATGGTATGTATGCGAACAAGCGTTTTCACTTATGAATTTAAACAAGTGCAAAACACGGAACAGGTTAACCAACGAGAATTTGGAAAATCTGCTGGTTGTTTCAACATCTGCCATTACGCAAGACATCAAGAAGATTGCTGCCAGCATCCAATCTCAGCCATCGCATTAATCACTTGGAGAGCCAGCCCCCAGTCAGTAAACTTAATCCTAATTTGGCCCTTCTTCAGAAAAGGTTGTGCATCCCTGCTTAAGTGGTAGTAAATTATTGAATTTATTAAAAATACCTTTGATCCTACATCTGAGTGTTACAGCACTACCATCTGGAATAGCTTGACTTGTTAGGTGTTCTACTACTCGGAGAGGTCCCTCGCTCTTCTTTTCTGGTTTTCCAGCTTTCTTGTCCATTGCTACATTATAATAATAATAATAATAAAAAATTATTATAACACAAAAGTATTGTATAAAAAAAATAATAATTTAAACTTACGTAATATAGTAATTTTACACTTGCTAGAAACTTCTCCTAGACTGTTTCTGGCTTTACACATGTATTCTCCTGCATCCTCGGGATAAACTTCAGCAATAATCAGCATTGCTTCTTTGTTTTTGTATTTCAAATTCATAATTTCAGAAGAATGTAATATCTGTTATAAAAAAATTAAAATTTTTTACTTACCCAATAAACAAAATTTCATATGAAGAATCATTTATGAAGGATAATAAAAAAAGAGTGAGAATGATTTATTGATCACAAAACATATTAGACAGGATCCTGGTTAATATGGCCTTTTTTCAAGTGGTTCCCATTGAGTTATATGCACTTGGCCCAACATGTCAGACAATTCTGGAATTCATCTTTTGACATCGTCATCAGAACTGTCTCCGACTTCTTGAGAACAATTGTTGATGAGCTGAAACTCTAGCCCTGCAGCTCCTTTTCAGACAAGGCAACCAAAAAAAGTTACATGGAGCAATATCTAGTCTGTACAGAGAATGCAGCACATATTCGATGTTTTGTCAGGGCAAAAAGTGTTGGCAACATGAAGGCTTGCATTATCATGGTGTAGTTGCCAACCAATTGATGCAGCTCAAGGCTTTTTAGTTGGATGTATTTGGTCAGAATCTTCAAAACAATCATGTGATAATGCTCAGTAACTGTAGTATGTACACTTCATGTCGGTAAACGCTTCAATGGTAGTCAAAGAAGAAAATCACTGTTACTTTTTCCATAGACCAAACAACCTTGGCTTTCTTTGGCCATGGAATACGGTATATGTATAAGGCTGTCAAACATTGACTGTTTCCCACCCTCTATACTGTCCAGACCTTCCGGTGTGACTTTTTTGTTCCCTAACCTAAAATTAGAGCTGAAAGGCCAGTGTTTTAACTTATCAATGGCCATTCTGAAGAAGTTGGAGGTGATTCTGAATATGATATCAAGTGACAGGTTCCAGCAAGTATTCAAGAACTGGCAGACACATTGGGCCAAGTGCATACAACTTGATACAGACTAGCTTGAATAAGGCCTTTATTAACATGGACTCTGCCTAATGTATTTTGTGAGTAATACAGTCTCACTTTTTTTTTTACTTGTTCTAGTAGTAATAGGGATCAGAGAGAAGAAATCCAAATTTGTAAGTTATACAGTGGAACCCCGGTTAACGAACTTAATCCGTTCCGCTACTCCGTTCGTTAACCGAAGCAATTTTTCCCATAGAAATTAATGCAAATGCAATTAATCCGTTCTAGTCTCCGAAATTTTTGCGATTTTATTTGTAATATACAGTAATTTCCTTTAATAAAAATGTAAGAAAACATAGTATCTATCATTACAGCAACAAACATGTAAACTTTGTTTAATAAACTAGCACTGTACATACCTTCGTTTGTTGTAGTTGGTGGCAGAAAAGTGGAGATATACGAACCTTAATGCTTAGAACGGGAATCCGATCCAAAAAATAACGGGTAGCACTTCATTGGAAGATTCCTCGACTCGAAGTCTCTTTCGGTAAAAAACCCACCAGTGGCTAAGTGGTCTTCGTATCTTGAACATGGAGAGTTCGTTCGTGGGTTCGCATCTCGCTCAGATGGGCTGGCCATGTGGAGTTTTCCGGGTTTTCTCCACGTCTATAACGCCTAAACAGGGGTCAGTTTCCCTTAAAAACACCTCCCAGAAGGCACTTCCCTAGGCAGATTGCCCAAGTGTTGCGTTGCCATAACTTAACAAACAAACAAACTCTTTCCGTAAGGAACAAGAAATTGATCTAAAGTTGATTGTCTTACTATTTTAATCAAAATTTTTCTCAAATGCAATAGCGCATTGTCGTTTTCTATTGCCACTATGACTTTTTTCTTTCTTGGATGCCATATTGATTAAATATATAAATCACCAAACTGAAAAAAGAAGCATAGCACAAACGCTCGGAAAAGCAATGCTTAACTTGCGCATGCCTAACACCAACTAAAATTTGACACAAAATACCATTACGTTCTTTGTCCGAATTTTGTTCGTTATCCGAGACAAATTTTTTGCAAAATAAAAGTTTGTTAACCGATTTGATCGTTAACCGGGGTTCCACTGTATTTAGAAAAGAGAATCTAAAAAATGTTTCTTTGAATTTCTTTTCATTTGTTTTCAAAAATACATTTTAATTTCTTTCATATTCAAACTAATAATGTTCTAAAATATTTAGAAAATATATTTTGAATTTGAAATAATGTGCTATATTAATAACTATAACATGCTATATAATTTTGTTTGGCATACATTTGGACCAATGTACAGGGTTAGCGAGAAATAAGTTTCCCACTTCAGAGAGCTCTGGAGTACGTTCTACTGCTTGAAATGAGACAAAATTTGGACTGCAGAATCCAAATAATGTGCTTGACATTTCTTAAATAAAAAAAAAATAGTACAAGAATTTGTCAATAGGCAGCACTGGGGTACATAAAAATATTGAATATGCATGCACATATAAATGTTGAATATGTAGCACTAAAACTGCTCAATATGTCCTCCTCCATTTTGAACAATGTGCTCTAATTGCAAAACCATACTAAGACAGCATTTCACAGATGCATTGATAATCAGCCATTATTTTCCTACAGCATGGCCTACTCGCTCATTGGATATCATCCCTTGCGACATTTGGTTATGGGGTTATGGTTACAAAGGACAACGACTACTGTAAAAAATCTGCATCTGTGTTAGATCTGAAGGACAACATTCAGCACCATGTTCTGGATATTCCAGAAAACTCACTGCATTCACCTGTGAAAAATATGGTTTTGCGATTAGAGCACATTGTTCAAAATAGCTAGTGCTACATATTCAACATTTATATGTGCATGTATATTCAATATTTCTGTTCTCTAGCACCATCTATTGACAGTTTTTGTACTATTTTTTTTTTATTTATTTAAGAAATGTCAAGCACATCATTTGAATTATCTGTAGTCTAAATTTTGTATCATTTCGAGCAGTAGAATGCAATCCAGAGCTCTCTGAAGTGGGAAACTTATTTCTTGCTAACCCTGTATATCAAAAAAGTAATTCTTGTAAAAAAATTTTAGATATTGTCTTCTGTAATGATATAAATTATCAATAGTTTTTTTTAATGTGTAAAATCTATCCATTATTTAAATATATTTAATTATATTTTTCAAATCATATCATAGGCATTTTTTCTCTCAAAAATACAATTTTTTTTTATAATGATTAGTTGATTATTACCAAACATATATCTAAATTGCCAANTTTGAACAAGTAAAAATGATTTTTAAAAATTTGTTTTCAAACATTAAACAGTTTACCTTTCCATCTTTAAGCCACTCTACTTTGGGCTCTGGATCTCCATCAATTATGCATTTTAAGATCATGGTTTCTCCATCTTTAATATTTTGATCCTTTAATAATTCTTTGAAGGATGGTGGTGTCATTGGTGTGTCTTCTGGAACTAAAAATTATTTTGTGAAATATTAATTCTCATAACAGCTTTTAACATCAATATAAAATACTAACTTACTTTCTAATTCTTTAGTAGCTGTTCGAGATCGTGTTGGACTGGTACCCTCTTTTTTACCGTAGGGTTTTTGTACTCGTTTTGTCGTTTCTGGAACTGAAAGCCTGGAAGCTGCACTACTTAAAGTACTACTGACATATTCACTGCTTGTTTTCTTCATACTGCTGGAATACTTCTGGTCAGAAGAAGAATATGAATGTGAATATTCAGATTTACTGGAATATGGTGAAGGTGAATAATCTCTCTTGTAGATATCTGTGACACTGGAGAAAGGTTGTCTTGTTGGAGTAGAAACCCTCAATGGTGATCCCATTATGACTGGTGATTGTAGTGCTGAACTTTTATGATCTGAATTTTTAATATTCAACATGAATATAACAATAGACATACCCTAAATTTATTAAATCTTATTTGAAATTAGCTCACCTTCTACAATAACAAAGCAACTAGTTTCATCATCTCCTAGTCTATTTGAAGCTCTGCATGTATATTTTCCTGCATCATCAGCAGAACATGCTGCAATTTCTAATATAGCAACACCATCTGAATATCCCATACTGCATTCATATTTATTTACTTCTCTTCCATTTTTATACCATTTAATCTATAATGAAATAGTAATAGAAGCATAGTTTTAATATATCTTCATAAAATAATCATTTACACAACAATTTATATATATAGCATGTATAACATAAATTCAATCCAAAATTAAATTGGATCTTGAAGAATCTGAATGTGTCAAATCTATCCATTATTTATTTTCAAAATCATTTAAATATATTTAATTATATTTTTCAAATCATATCATAGGCATTTTTTCACTCAAAAATACAATTTTTTTTTATAATGATTAGTTGATTATTACCAAACATATATCTAAATTGCCAAATTATTATTATAGAATAATTTATTTATTAATTTTTTAAAATTTGTTTTCAAACATTTCAAACAAAGTTTACCTTTCCATCTTTAAGCCACTCTGAAGCTTAGTGTCATTTTGTAATGGATTTATCATACAGAAGACTTGGAGACAACAGGAATAAATCTAGACTTTATAGGTATAAGTGTTATGAAAATGCATTTCAGGTGTCAAACCCCTCATCAATTCAATTCTCTTAGGTTTACCTATGTTCTGAAGACATGTTAGATGTACAATTTATAACAAATTTTTATTTTTCTTAAACGTAAATTACATTGGTAAGTTTCTCACAATAAGTGAGAGATTTACCAATGTAATTTACATAGTTCATCAGTTTACCAATGTAATTTAAATGTAATGTAAACTGATGAACCCAAAATGCATTTTCATAACTTTACCAATAAAGTTTAATTTTATTCCTGTCATCTCCAAGTGTTCTGTAGGATAAGTCCATTAAAAAGCAATACTACACTTCAGATCCTTCAATATTGATATTAAATAGAACAAGAAACTTGAATATCAACAAATTGGATCTTGTTTGTGAAAAATTAATTTATTTTGATTATGTATGGAGAGGCATGTTCTGCCTCACCCTATGTATTTCAATATATAAAATTTAAAGTTACATAATATGTTCCATATGTCTACCATAACATGTCAAGACATTATTCCTGCTAATGATAACAGACACAGGACAAAATGTCTGATGATATGGAGTTGCAGGCCTCAACAATCCTTGTTAATGTAAAAAATTAATAATGTTAATAATTCTCCTTTTTCATGTGATTGAGGCCTGTGACTCCATATCACCAGATATATTGTCATGTGTCTGACACAAATGAGAACATCTTGATTAGTGTGTTAGCAAAAACCTGAAATTTTCAATTGATTAACCAGTTTGAATTCAGTAGAATTAATTTTTATCATCCCATTTTGTTAAAAATACTGCAGTAAATATTAGCCAGGATTCACAAATTTGCCTGTAACATGTACTATTTGTGCCAACAACAGGTAAGTGTTTCTTCGAAGTTGGTAAATGCTGTAGTTTAAGTATTTAGCAAATGAATTAATGGCAACACCAAAAATCCAGCACAAAAAGTAATTTAATGTAAAAACAAACACATTTTTACAGTTTTCAATGGGCATCTTCAGGTTTAAAACTGTTCCACAAAAAAAAAATGAAATACACGTAGAGCATTGATTATCCGACCCTTGATCAACACATCGGTTAACCAACCGTGTTCTAGTCGGCAAATTCAAATGTCCGCTGGTGATGCGGCACCATAATATTTGGCTATGTCTTGGCTACTTTAATATTATTTTCGTTAAATTTTTGGTGTTTTAGCTGGCAACACTGGCTCAATCATGAAAGGGATGCCAGTATTTAAACGAGGCTTAATTTTCTAATTATGAGTGGTTGTTTGTTTTGTAAGCAATAAAATAATTTAAAAATAATTTTTAACGACACAATAGCAACGATTATTATTTTTAAAAAGTTTTTGTTAGACTTAACATCGATGAAAATTCAATACAAAGTAGGTTAATAGGGATATACTAATATACTAATTACACGAGATATAATAATGTATTTTTCATACTTTTCGGTTATCTGTTTTTTCAGTTATTCAACCAACCCCAGTCCCCAATTGAGTTGGATAATTGATGCTCTACTGTACATATTTTAAAAAGGTAAATTGCTATTGTTTGCAAATTATAATGTTATACTACTGGAAAATTCAGTGTGTGTAATTTCATACGTATTATGTATGAAATTATCTTAAATCCAAGCTTATGTTAATGCCAACTAAAAGTCAAAAAAGACATGTAAAGACAATGATACTAATTTCATTCCTCATTCAAAACTGTTTTGAAACTAGTTTTCGATTTTACAAAAACTGGTCAAGATTAGTTCTGGCAATAAAACAAGTGTATAATATGTAATGGTGGACATAATGAATACATTATGTACTGTACCTTCGGTGTGTTTTGCCTACACTCACATAAACTGTAGGGGATATGTGTTTTAATAATAAACCCCTAGGTTTAATCAAAAAAATATGGTACAGTAGGTGATCGGTTAACGAACATAATCTGTTCCAAGACTATTCTCTATCCGAATTGTTCATTAACCGATTATCGATTTACCATAGGTTTTTATGGGAATTTGATTAATTCATTCTGGAGACCCCAAAACATAAAAAATATAAATAAATAAATGTAGTAAGAAAGTATATATGTAATAATAAAAATACGTATATACACAGTCTTGCATTTTTATTAGTCATGTTTTTCCATTTGTGGGGGTTAAAGAATTTGTCTAATGTCAATTGCTTTTCTCTCTTCTTCAGGATTTTTCAGAAATAATTAATAGCATTGTAATTGTAGAAATCCCCCAAGCCTATTAACCTCACCCTGTTTTGGATGGGATTCTAAGACTGTTGTTTTGATATCCTCCTACTTTTTAAATAGCAGATATCAACATTAATCTTCTTTTTCAGAAGAAAACATATCTCACAGAGTTTCTTGGCATTCTTCATTCAAGAGTTCTTTGTTTTTTTTCTGTCATCAGATCCATTTCAGGTTCCATTATGAGCTCTTCAATGTTCTTTATTTCTCAGACGTGATTTTTGTTACTCAGCTGCATGAGTCTTCTTGATTATACTGTATCTTTCTTAAGCCCTGGTCACACTATGCGCTTTCCAGCCATGCAAGTGACCGCAACTGCAACAAGCACGAGTCACATGCATCTTCTCGTGGTCACACATTGTTCATTGACGTTGCAACTCAGAAACACTTGACCTTATAATAAACCAATAAAATTACAGTAGCTTGTTTTTGACTACTTCCGTGAGTTTACTGACATTTTACATTCTACTTCATAGTATTTATGGAATTTTAGCCACTTTTCTTATTAAAATGGTAAGCAGTTCCTTTTCTGGAATGAATAAAAGAAAAAAAGGCAATTATTTTGATATAGCTGGCGAAAACACGCAAAAAGATAAAACCTTTGATAAAACGAAAAATTAAAATCCCACAGGTATTCGTGGGTCCGAATAAGCTAAATCCTCTAACTATCCACCATGAGGATGAACTATTTTCAATGTTGTCACCATATGACGTGGCTCAAAGGTGTTTGCTGATTGGATGCGGTTGCAGTCACGCCTGTTTTCGAGGGGGATTACTAATTAACAGAAACAACCATCATGATTGCAGTCACCTGCGCAGCTGGAAATCGCAGTGTGACCAGGGCTTTAGATAAGATTGAACTGCAGCCTACTGTATATCTGTTCAAGCCATACTGCTCAGCAACATCAGACATCATCTGCCCACTCTCATGAATACTACAAAAGAATTGTTTCTGTCAGAAAAATAAAAGACTGGAATTAAAAGGGAGAGTTTCAAAGTTCTGAGGAATACTATCCGTTGAGTGTCGATGTCAACGTCTCCCGTGCTCCAAAAACTTTCGAATTGTTTCCTGAAGACAAGAGAAGACCAATCATTATTCATTATTTTACATTGCTTCTTCTTGTATTTGTTCTGTGAGGTGTTTGTTGTTCGAACATAAAGATCTTTCGTGAAAGTGTTCATTATCCAATCACCCACTGTATTTATTTCATGGAATTATAAGAATTTAAATAAACATTTAAATAATTATCTTATATGGATGAAGTTTTAAACAAGGGCAAATTCTCTGGGCTTAATTACGCATGCAGAGCATGCTAAGAAAGAGAAAGTTTTGACTGTCACTATACTTTTTATATGAGAACAAATATGCCAATAATAATTTATTTTAATGTGTAAAATCTTTTATCATTTGTGTTAGCTTTTACATTGACAGCTAGTGGCTAGCCATTTGTCAGTGTGATGCTTGCTTATGTGGAGGTTTGCTGCAGCAAACAAGTGCATGCACATGATGTCATTCGAAGAATTTAACATGGCCAGATTGTATCGAAAGCTTGTGGTATCCAGTCAGCATATAAGATTTGAAACCACATAATACAAAGTTGTGAATTTTTGTGAGTTATGTACGTTGTTGCTATATGTTATTTTATTCACACCAAATAATGTTTCTGCCTATTGTTTAATGCAGGGGTCACCAAACTTTATCACAGCAGGCCAGATAACTGACAGAATGACGAATGCGGGTCACATAACCATTTTGTTCAATACAGTATACTGAATGCACAAAAAAATAAAGAAAACCAACTTATTTATTTACCAATACACAAACACAATTACTGCTTCAAGCTCGTAATCACTTTTCTTAGAAACTTTATTGCAGGTACTTACACAAAAAGTGTTCTGATATCCAAAGTCTCTGAAATTTTTATTTCATTGATTTTCATAAAAATTATATTATTGTCAGATGCAAAAGTCAGATTGGACCACTTCTGGCATTTTTACTTGAACTTATTTTAATTTTTTTACATAGTAAGTGTATCTATAATCAATCACATTTCAGCACAGTGTGGTGGCGGGCCTGTTCTGGCCCATGGGCCATAGTTTGGCGACTCCTGGTTTAATGCTAGAGATAGGCCCATTTTTCCTATTATAACTTTCAACTTGCCCAAAAATTTTGGTCAGTATTCACCCAAGTTTTAACAAATTAAACTGTTTTCAATGAAATTATTACATGTTTTATTCAGATGATTGAGAATATTGCAGAAAATTTAGTCAAATTCTGATAACTTGGATCCAAATGTTAATATGATTTTATTATTGTAAATTTAATATAATTTTAAATGAAACATTACCTCAGGAGTGGGTTTTCCAGTGAGGCAACAGAGTAATTTAACACCAATACCAGACTGGATGACTCGAGGTCTCAAGAGGAAAGTAAAATTGGGTGGAGAATCTTTTGGTTCTTCCCAAGGTTTGAAATAAAGTGGTTCTTGTCTTTTCCTAAAATTTTAGAAAATGATTAATTTTAAAAATGATAGGAAATTAATACAAATTTATATGAATGTTTTCGTTATATATTACCTGACTGGTTCTTCCAACCTTACTTCAGGTATGCTTATTGGAATTGCTAAAGGACAATTAATTATATTAAAATAATTCATAAAATCACTATAGAATAAAATAACTGAATAAAAAAAATAATTACAATGAACATTAAGCAAGACAGGTTGTTCTCTGTAACCATAAGAATTTTCAGCTCTGATAATATATTCGCCCCTATCATCCAGTTTACAGCGATTTATTATGAACCAATAATCATCATCTTGATACCTCTTCATATATTTTACACTTAAACGTAGCTCCAAATTGTCTCTGAACCTGTAATTGCACAGATATAAAGACAAATTTTATAGAATATTAAAAAGGTTTCCTGATTAAAACCCAAAATTAATACCAAGAGACAACTGCTGGAGCTGCTGCAATGACTCTACAATAAAAGTTTGCACTTTGACCTTCATATACAAAAGTACTCTGAGGTCTGATGACAAATCTAGGTGCAGCTTGTTGACGGTCTAAAATTCAAAATTTTTTAAGTTAACATTAAAAGCATCAAAAATCTTATATACATAAGATTTTTAACATTATTTACCAAAGTAAAAGTCTCCAATTTTATATTTATCTTGATTAAGTTTCCTTAAGGAACTGTAATTTGATATATGACCAATTGGTAAAATACTTGAAAACCAATACTCTCCCTAATAAAAGAAATAAATATATTTAATTTTAAGGCAATTTTTTTTCATTTAAATTTTTGAGACAAAATATGACTTACGTATCTTGCACGTATACTGTCACGGAATTTTATGTATCTTCTGTTAGGAATTGGAATGGTTGCAGAATCTTTTATATCACCCTATAAATATCCATAACAATTAGGTTAAACATTTATATTATAAGAATTATACAAAATGCAATATGTAATAATAGTAATAATAATTACCTTGAGCCATGCATGCTCTAAACATTCATGTGCAGTCATTCTTTTCCTACAATTTAAAAATATCTTTTTCTCATTCAATATTTTAAAATGATACTGGTTTAATATTTTTAAGAGTTCATAAAGTATAATGAGTTTTTATTACAGAATCATAAGAATCACAAATATATTTCTATAATCTGGTACAGTTTAATAAGCTCTTGCATCAAAATAATAAGTAACTATACTGTAATTCTTAATACTAATTGTGCTTTTGAAGAATTTCTCACCATAATTATAAAACTTTTTATTGATATGGTTTTTTACAGTTCAAAAGATATATTTCTACTAAAATAAAATTGCCTTTCAATGTTTTTAACTGACAGGTTTGGAGATCAAAATTCAAAAAAAGAATATGAAATAATTTCTTTTTAAATATTTGAAATTCTTTTGTTATATCACAAAAATTTCATAAAAGTACACTGGTGTTCAAAATTAAGAGAATTTGCAGATTTTGTTGATTTTAACAAAAAGTAATGAACCAAAAGTACAAATTATGCCATCAAATAAGAATTTTTAGTGTTGAATACGTATGCTTACAGTATGTGTGGGCAGAGCCTTAACAGCAGAGGACATGGAAAGCACACATGGCTTTGTCTGCAATTAGTTTGCACATACTCCTCAGTGACATTCGTTTTTCTTGGAAATGTTGGTTCAATTTCATAAGCAATTGGATAAAATGAGTAGCCACAAACATCTTGATGATGGAATGAGGTGAAGAATTGTGAGTAGATTGGAGGTGGGGCAATCACAAATGCAAGTTGCTACAGAGCTCAATGTAACATCCAGTGTTATCTGCAATTTGTGGAAACAGTTTAAGGACACCAGATCCATATCAAGAAGGCCTGGGCAATGTCATCCAAGAGCCACAAAGGCCAATGAAGATCATTATTTGGCACTTTCAGTGAGGTGCCTTAGGACTGCTACAGCTTCACAGCTATCTCATAAGCTGCATGCTGTCATTGTTTCCTGGAGGCTTCATGAGAGGACTTTTTGCCAAAAGACCCACTGTTTGCATCACACTCACTTCAGAAAACACGAGAGTGCCTTTAGTATGGTGCAGACATCAACCTTGGACCAGACTTCAGTGGGGTAATGTTCTCTCCACAGATGAGTCATGATTCAGCTTGGACATGGATTCTCGACATACCTTCATCTGGAGAGAACCTGGGACCCAATACCTTTCCTCCAACAACTGAGAAAGGGACAGCTATGGCAGTGGAGGCATCATAATCTGGGCATGCATCACATTGGATGGCTGTTTATCTTATCTTATGTTTGACTTTTCAGGGGTGCAGTTGGCCCTCTGTTCATTTTTATGGGTGACAACATTTGTCCACATAGGGCTCACCTGATCAATGAGTATCTTGAAAGTGAGGATATTTGCCAGATGGAATGGCCAGCCAGATCTCCAAACCTAAACCCTATTAAACATGTCTGAGACACTCTTGGGAGAGCAATTGCAGTTCTCAATCCCCAGGAGCTGAACAGTGCATTGCTGAAGGAGTGGGACTGATTGCTACAGGGACTCACCAGCTGCCTTGTTTCCAGTATGAAGTCGCAATGTGAAAGCTGTATGATTAATATGGGATTTGGTCACCTCTCTCAGTCATTTTATGTTTGATCTTGCAATGTGGTTTTTCCCAAATTTGGACATTCCTGCACTGATTAGCTTTATTGACAATCATGAATGCAAACTGTGAGGTTCCAGAATGGATCAAAATAAAATTTAATTTTTACATGTTGGGAGCAAAAATGCTATTGTCAAGTCGAATCAAAGGTGATGATAGTTATATGAGAGAGAGAGAGAGAGAGAGAAAAAAACCCTTTAAACAATGCAACACAAAATGTAAACAATAAGTCCCGCAATGACTTCAACACACGTTAAATGATCTGTCAATGTCAAACCAGAAGATAGAACTGACTCAAGTGCTCATAAACTGTCAATCTAGGAAAACAATTTCAGAAAAGGGTAAAGATTTGATGGATGGAAAAACATTGCTTATGATTGTTAAAGTTCCAAAATGACAGAAATCACAAACAATGGGCTAAATTATGAGCACAAGTCTTATGGTTCTATCAACAATCTTAGGGCACAGTTGACAAAAAGATGTCAAATTGACACCTTGAATCTGACCTTTCTCGTTACCTGATCAGGTCTCTATTTTCACCTGGAAACAAAAGAGAGACCAATCAGGAAGTGAAGAAGGGGTCGAGGGGCCAATCAGAAATATGAATAGTGGGAGAAAAACTATAAAAATCAAAAATTCAAGGTCAAAAGACAGTCTTCCTCTGGATTAAAGGTAGTGCTCTTTAAATTGTGTTGTCACTGACTTAGGATGCCACAGTATCTCCGCCGATCACCCTCATCTGTCCACCTCATCTGCTCCGGAGCTACAACCGATAGAACAAACTCTTGCCACTCTGAAGGATCACCAAGATTTGGAACTGTCAAACATTGATGTAAGCTTAAATGCTACAAAATAAATGGCTTTTAACTTTGTAAGACACTTGTCATCAATTGTTTCCTTTGCCACACCTACATGCAAACATCTCTTAGGTTCATCCTGACACGGGATTAATTTTCCCCCCCTAAAGGTCGGCGAGCTTACAATACCATGACTATTGTATGATATACTTTTTTCTCTTATATAACTGTGTATCCACACCAAATTTCATTAAAATGTGCAAATTCTCATAATTTTGAACACCAGAGTAGTTAGATTAATAGATATAAAGTGAAATATGAAATAATTTCTATATTGCTAAAAACTTCTGCAATAACTCAACTAATTTAATCAATTTATTCAATATTCTAATGTGTATATTTCTTTAACTTGTTGAAAATATTTTATAAAATGCAACCATCACATTCTTACTTTCTGTAATCATATAGAGAGAACCTAAAATAGGAAATTGAAATAGAAATTCTATCCAACATCAAATAATGTATATTTAGTGAAAATATGATGCTAATAACTATTGACAAATGTGCATTTGTTTTAATGAAAAAGTTAATTTAATTGGTGTAAATTGCATGCAAATTGGGTTATAAAATATATAGTTCAAATCAATTTAAGTTACATTTATCACACACATGTTGAATTACCATTACATTATTATATGACATGTTCCATTTTATATTATAAATTCAATTCATTCATTGTTTGCATTTTTGCACAAACAATATTATCTATTTAGTGATTAAATTTGAAATATGATTAAAATAAGTTTTAATATCACAAAATTTTCTCAAATAAGGAAACTTTTGTAAAAATTTACAGAAAAATGACAATATGTTAGAGAGAAAAGAGCAAGAAAATCTCACCAAATCAAGAAAGTTTGCAGCTGTGAATAAAGATGATAACCTTCAACTTTAAAAAAATTAGTGTTTATTATTAATGTACTTTATGATAATTTTTCCTTATCAAAATTTAAAAATGTTCAGGGTTCTTTAAAAAAAATAATCCTTAAAAGCTGTAGTGTTAAACAAATAAACAATAGAAGTTTTCATTAAGAAATTATGAACTTTTTATCTTATTAGAAGTATTATATTCATATTATTGAAAACAGATTAATATTCAAAAAATAATACATACTCTTTATTTCTTGTAAGTAATCGCTTAATGAAGTCTTTTGCTTCTGCTGAAACAGTTGCAAATGCTTCATCATCAAATTCCCAGTCACATGCTCTTACATTCTTTAGGGTTTCTACATCATCATCTCCCGCAAATGGCGACAATCCACTAAGTCTAATAGATAAATATAATGTTTAATTTATAATATATCAATAATTATGCAAAACTAATATAAAAGATATAAAAAAAATAATTTTTGAAATAAACAATATACCTGTGTACTACTAATAAAAGTAAGAAAATAAAATATCCCAGTAATGTATAAGAACATTTCATACAAAAAAATATTTTTGAATTATGATTGTGATGGAAATTGCACAAAACTTTTTACATATATTTTCCTGCACAGCAAATTGATTGAATAAACTTAACAGATTAATTAATGATTATACATATATTGTGTTCAACATTTCTATAGCATGTTATAAGCCACATTTACAATAATATATCAGGTTATGCTAGTTTAAGGAAAAAAGCAACATGAATATCTTGTTTATTTATAATGAAATTATTACTAAAAGAAATGATAAAAAGCAACTAATAAAATTAACTAATACAATTTCCCTAGCATATCAATATTAAGTTTATCATATTTAATCAACTCATTCTAGAAAAATACCACAAACAAAATGTAACATATTTTATTTCAAGCTAAAAAGATGTTGGTAAATGAAAAATGTTTCAGTATTATGTCTAAAAAGTCTAAATTTATAAATTAATATTTTAAGAGTCTGTTAATCTGGCACCCTCTGAAAAAACAGTCCAATATATTACTATTTTGCAAATCAGAATTTATTTGGACACAAGATGCACTGAAGATCTCAGGTGGGGTATGGCCAACCACACTGCTACATGTTAGGCAGTCAAGAGTGATATTTTTCTTGATCACAACTCATTTTGTTACAGCTTTGTTTCTGCTGGACTGAACATAGTATATACTATTACAAAATGTACAGCAACCTCTGCAATATTCAGATCATATCTAGTTTATCAATTTTTGTAAATATACAAAAATATCTGGTAATCCAGCACCATTCATCATACCATAGGTGTCAGGTTAACAAACTTCTACTATTTAAAAAAATACATTTTATAAAGTCATATTTCCTCTTCAAAATTATAACTTATACATAGGTTTTATATTTTTAAAAGATAGTAAATAGGACATACAAAACATAAGCAAGAACTCCTACAGCCCACATATCAGTATAGAAACCAACAGGTTCCCTATCAACAATTTCTGGTGCAGCAAATTCAGCCGTTCCAGTTGATATTTTCACAACCTCTTTAGGATCTAACTTTGTAGCCAGTCCAAAATCTATCATTTTAATGTTATTTCCAGTTTTAGTTTGACACATAATATTCTCTGGCTATAAGCAAAAATCCAGTGTAAAAATTAAATATATTTAAATTACACAAATATTTTAATTAGGTAATACAACCAAATTTACCTTAATATCTAAATGGACAATATTTTTCTCATGCATATGTTTTACTCCTTCACATATTTGTCTCATATAATTGATAACTTCTGCTTCAGACATTTTATAATTATCATCAGTAATTCTTTCAAAAAGTTCTCCTCCAGCCATACTAAAAATATTTTAAAATGTTTCATAAATAAATATATAATAGAGTAATTTATAAAAAAAAATATTACATAGAAATTAAAACTGTATACATACAATTCATAAATCAGTATCATTTCATCATCATCTTCAAAAGCATCATGCAATCTAATTAATTTAGGATGATGTAATTGATTCATAATATCTATTTCTTTCTTAATTACAGACTTCTCCAATGGGTGTGTTATTGGGATAAATTTAGCAGCAAATATGTTTCCTGTACGTTTTTCTCTACATCGATGAACTACACCAAAGGCACCTCTGTAATAATGTAATAAATCAATTAAGTATCTTTTATTTTTTAAATTGTGATACTGAATATTAACACATACGTTCCAATTTCTTCTAAAATATCATAGAAGTCATAAACACTGGATGTTTTTATATCAACAGGTCCAGGAATATATTTTTCATAAATATCAAATACTATAACAAAAAATTAAATTATTTGATAAAACATTCATAAAAATAAAATTTTATTATAGAAATTAATTAAATTTTTATACCATATTGATCGTAATTTGTAACTTTGCCTTCAGGCTTGCCCCTGACTCTTCGACCAGATGCATCTATTAATTGCAAGTAAAAAAATGTATTTATTAATCATAATTATTAATGTTTTAATAAGGTTAAATTATATTTGATTGTTACTCACCAGTATATTGTTTTCGCTTATGTCTATCCTTTCCAGATTCTAGAATATATTAAGTTATTTCATTAAAAATTAATTTAATGATATATGACTAATCCTTTGAAAAACTTCACCAATTAAACTTACGCTTTGTAGTAATTACAGTAGTTGGATCACTTGGTTCACTTCTACCATAAACATTCTCTGCATATATTCTAAATTCATAATCTTTACCAGGATTTAAACCAGAAACCAAATGATATAAAAATCTAAACAAACAAATAGCTCATTCATAATTCTGAATTTACATCATTACAACATACTTTACAAAGTAAAATACTTAATACTTACCTGGTATTTCCACACCTAATCCAACTGCTTAATGGAACTTCTCTCTTCTCAATTAGATAATTAGTAACATGACTTCCTCCATCCCAAAGTGGTGGTTTCCAGGATAAAGTCACTGAATCGTCAGAAATATTTTCAACTATTGGGAATCTGGGGGGATCTGGTTTATCTGTAATATGTATTTTTGATAATTTAATTTAAATTATAAAAATGATTTTTGATTTTAATGAAATATTATAAATTGCTGTAGAATAATTTTCTAGTAAAACCTGACTAAACAGAAAAACTTTGGAATGGTGTGATTTTCTGTGTTAAATTCCACACATCCAACATGGAAATGAATAGAGGTTTTTGGATACGAAGAATGTAATTTAATCTGGATAAAGCAAACACTTAAGATTCCACTTGCAGATAAATAAGTAAAATTGTCTCCAGGTATAATGGTCATTGCAGAGCATGACAAACTGTATTCCAAGAATGATTTCAAAGCTTGTCAGAGAAACTAAGATCACATGATGAGGGGACATATGGACAGAAGGTCTTTGTTGGACTTACCCAAAGGCAGAGTTGAATACTTTTAAGAATTAAGAAATTTCAAGACTCAAATAAGTTATCCAAAACAAGCAATGAATATAACTTGATGAAAAGAATGAGAATAAGGTAACACAGTGTCAATTTGTCTTGTACGGAATAGTTAGTAACTAACTCATACCAAGGTATTCAAAAACAAGTTGATTAAAGTAAACATTTAGAGTATTAAAATTCCTCGAGAAATCTGATCACAAAATAACTTGGTCTCTGTATTACTGTATATGATCAAATTTCAGATGGCAGAGCTAATTCTTGGTACTTGAATTTGCTTGTTCACTGTTGTGTGAGCTCATAAGAATAGCATCCATTTCCTAATATTTAGCAGAAGTTCTTGGGAACAACAAGAACTTTTCACAATCAAACAGTTTTCAATTCCTGATTTGAATACTCCCGTATTTAATTGGAATCACTTTGGATTAAGACCAGTAATAAAAGTATGTGTATACAAAAGTGATTTCACTATTTAAAAAAAACGAATTTAACTGTGTGGCATTTATATAGTGTAAATTAAGGTTAAAAAAAAGAAAAAATAGTAAATACTGTTCAAAATGTAAAAAATAATTCAGTACTGTGCAATTCCAGTTTACACAGGTTTTACTATAAATGATAATTAAACCTAGCAAAGAAATATTTTATGATAAATGTGATGGTTTTTTTATGATCTAAAAATTGGAGAAATTATATATTAACATACCACTAATCTGTATCTTAATAATTGCTGAATCAACACCCAATTCATTTTCTGCAACAAGTCTGTATGGACCACTGTCCAATTTTGTAACATCACGAATGACTAAAATAGCATGACGTTCACCAAGCTGTACATCATAATGACCACCACTCTCAATTTCTTCTCCTTCCCTTGACCATTTTAATTTTGGTTTAGGGAAACCAGTGAAAGGTATCTTAAGAGTTATATTTTCTCCCTTCTCAAAGTTAGCTAGTTCTCGGAATCGTGGAGGAACATGAATGTGAGGAGCAGCTATTAAATTTGTAAAATATATATTAATAAATTTTATCCAAATGATTATATTTTTATATTAGTTTTACATTAAACTCTTACTCTTAATAAGTAATTCTGCTCTGGAAGTTCTAGTTCCACCCTTATTGCTTGCTCTACAACAATACTCATCAGCATCTTCTCCATAAACTTCAGAGATAACTAAAGTATATGTTTCTTTATCTCTCAACATTGAATACTTTCCTCCTTCAAATAATTCTCGCATGCCTTTGTACCTGAAATAGAGATAATTTCAAAATTTATATACATATTGTTAATATAATTTTAGAACAATTTCATGCAAGTCATAAAACCACATAATCTTTATCATCATCTTATACTCTTTCTATTAATTATTAACTCTTATAAAGTAATTTTTAAGTATTTTGCTTCAACTGATTTATTGAATTTCATAAAATATCTTTGAAATATAAATAATATATTTTTGGAAAAACTTTTTATTAAATATTACTGATGATATTTCTGTTATACTATAATAATAATTTAAGTGTTTATCGAAAATTTTTAAAAGTCTTAAATTTTATTTGATACTAAATATAAATAAAAATGTGTGGCTTTATTAAAAAAATTAATAATACAGTTATATGTAACTAATAGATTATAAATATCTTTTAAATTAATTCATTGTGTAATTATTATATAATCTGTAATATGGTTGTATCTAAATTTTCAAAAAGTTGAAAGTGAAAGAAATCAACTGTATTAGAATTTTAGACATATAAATAAAAACACTATACCAAGTAATATGGGGCTTTGGATTTCCAGTAACTCTACAAGAGAATTCTGCTCGTTTATTCTCTACAGCCATAATTGTTCTTAGTGGCATAATAAACTCTGGTGGTTGTGGTGCTAAAATTTTAAATAACATAAATTATAAAATATTCAAAAAAATTTTAGATTATTAGTGTAGTAGTAGTAACACTAAGTTTGAACTTACCATTTGGATCTTTAATATGTATAGAACTAGAGTTAGAGGATGGTGGACTGGTTCCAGCTTCATTCACAGCAAAAACACGAAATTCATATTGTCGCTCTTCTATTAAGTTGGAAATATTAATCTGAGTTGTAATGCAAAGATTTGGATTCACTCTCTGCCAAGTATTTGTTCCCACTTCTTTCTTGTCAATCCAATAACCTTGGATACGACTTCCACCATCAGATTCTGGTTTATCCCAAGAAAGATTGACAAAATCTCCTCCTACTTCTGTAACAACTGGAACTCCAGGAGCAGAAGGTGGGTCTTTAATAATTTTAATAAAGTTTTTTTAATCTTTTTAAAGATATTGCTATAGTATTTTGTAACAATGCATGTTTACTATGATAGTTATTTTGATAGGATAAATAGTATAAAGTTACATTTTAATAAATATTTTCTCTATATAGAATTATTTATAATAAAATAATTTATTAGCTAACAGATGCATATAAAAAGAATTACATAAAAAACTTTGTTATGATGTTGAAAAAATTGGACATTTGATAAAGAGCCATCTTTGAAATTAATTCAATGAAAAATACTGACATAATCAAGAAATTGTAATTCTAATAAATGTTTTTGAAGCATCTTCAGTTTATCCTCATATATCATCTAGTTTTGAAATTACAACATAAAAGTTGCCTAGATTTATTAATGTTGCTATGGCTTATTAAAGATTCTATCTGAAGGTAAATATTTCTGAATTATTGAAACATTAAAAATTGCATTGTGTCAATCATTTTTAATTTTAAAAAATTACATGAATTCCATTTCAGACCAGAAGTTCATATATAATTAATTGGACCTCCAACTCATAAGCTTTCCATATCTAGTCTCTATTTGCATCTAACTCCATTTTTTAGATTAACAAAAAATGGATGAATGGATAGGCATATGACAGTGGGAAATTATAGGTCTGCAATTTGAAAATTGAAGTTCAAACATCTTTGGGCTTTAACAGAATCAAGAAATGATAGTTTTATTGATTTATTTTGATTGGACATTGAAAGAATATTTTTCAGTTGATTTACATTCTTAAATCCTTTAATCACATAATCAAACCAACGATTGAGTATGAAATCTGTTATAATTACGTTTAATATCATTAGATGATATCTCTTAATGATCAGCACTGAGTTTTAAAGTGTTGATCTGATATACTATTATTCTAATTTTTAAATAAATAATAGAATTCTTCAATCTAATGAAGCATGAGCAAATATAAACCATATGATTTTTATTAAATTAAATGATTGAAATAAATTTATGATACTTTTGCCTACCATAAGGTGACTTGACAAGAACTGGATTAGTGCCATCCAAAGGTTTGCTTTGTCCATTTTCATTGACGGCCATTACACGGAATAAATATTCTCCACCCTCTGTTAATCCTTGAAGAGTACAAATAGTATCCTAGAAAAATAAAATTTATAAATTATTATTTATCCTTAATATTCAAAGTATCAAAATCAAATCAACTCTTACTTTACAGTAACTTGATGCAATCACCCATTGATTTCGACTAGTTTCTTTGCGCTCAACAATATAATGAGTGACTTTACGGCCACCATCATAAGCAGGTGGTCGCCATGCTATGGTAGCTGTATTTTTATTTATATCAGACACTTCTAATGGACCTTGAGGTGGTCCTGGTAGACCTAAAATTGAAGAATTAAATATTTAAATATTCTCATTTGCAACAGATCATTTAGAGTCAAGCAAATATATTTATACCTGTCACATGAAGAGAAAATGAGCCACTGTCAGATCCACTTGCATTAGTGACTACCAACTTATATTTTCCTTCATCCTTTTTCAAAGCTTCACGCACAAATATTATAACATAATCATCAAAAACTGTAAATTTAAGATGAGGACTTTCTTGTACTTCCAAACCATCTTTGAACAATGAAATTTCCAATGGTGCTGTGCCTGAGAAAAATATCTTAACTTTGCCATTATCATTCTCTGGAAAGTAAACTTCATTTGGACATCGTTCTATTTTTGGTGGAGCTAAATTAACAAAAAGTAAATATTTTTATGTTTAAAATGTTTGAATAAATTATAAATTTGAGATGAATAAAAATCTTCTTACAGGCAATAGTTAATTTAGCAAAACATCTCTCTGAACCAAGTGGATTGCTAATTTCACAAGTATATTCGCCTTCATCTGATTCCCATATTTCTGAGAATATAAGCTTGTAAACAGCATCTGGTGTTGCTACTGCCTTAATACGTCCAGCAGGATGAATTTCTTGGCCATTCTTAAACCTGTCACAAAATTATGAATAAATCTATTTTTATAGTAACGTTTGATTGCAAATAATTTATAGAAATGTCAACTTTACATTCAGAAATAATAATCAGAGAATAAATTTAATTACCATCTTGCAGTTGGAATTGGTTTACCACTTCCTTCACATTCAAATGTTAATCCTTTGTTGAGACTAGTATTTTTGTTAATTAATTTTCTTATAAATTCTGGTTTTGCTCCATCTGATAATAAAATATTAATAATAAAATTAATAATATATCAAAAATTAAGTATTATATATAGTAAAATAAAAACATACCAACAACATCTGTCACTTTAACAGGAGAAGTACATTGACTTGGTCCACTTTTTCCAGCAGCATTGATCGCATATACTCGGAATTCATAATTATTATTTTCAGTTAAATTCAAAACTGTGTATTCACAGTCAGTAGGAGTATAGTCATTGGCTTTAATCCATTGTCCTGTTGGACTAGATAAATCACGTCGTTCAATAAGGTAACCTGTGAAAAATTGAAAAGTTTCATTACTTTGGCTTTCTATCAGATCATTTAGAATAGCTTACAATGTACATATACAATAATATAATTAATATTGCTAAAAAGACTTATATATCAAGTGTTTTGTTAAAGAGTACTGTTCAAACTAGTTACATTTTACAATCACCACAAAGCAACAAATGCGTAAAATTGCATTTTATTTATTAGAAAATAAATAAATAATTAATGGAACAAACAAATTGGAATTATGAATTCCAATTTGTTTCATTGATAGAAAACTTGTTATTTAATGGTTTAACAAAATTTTTTCTTCTTTTTATTAAAATGCAAAATTTCATTTTGTTAGACTATTAATCACTCCCACACTCAATGAACCATTATCTCCAGTAATGCTTACATTTTTGGGAACAAACGTTTGAAATTGGAACAAATGCACATGCTATGGAGCGTTGGCAACTTCTTGCTCTTCACATATGTGAAATTCGAAATTATAAACATATTTAACCCTTTAAATTTTTAATAAAGTTAATTTCCTTTAACCTAAGAAACTTGACCTTAAAGAAACGAAATATAAAATACATGAGAAAATTTTAACTCTTTCTATTCAATTATAAACATTCTCACAATCAAACCGTGTGTTGTTTATAAGTATCGGCGAAATTCGTCAGATTGTTGTCATGTTAACACCAACTTTAACCCCATAACTGCTAGGACAATTGGTCACCTGAGAAATTTTCTCATCAAAAAGGTATAAAAGCCCGTCTCCNAAAAGTAAGAAAATAAAATATCCCAGTAATGTATAAGAACATTTCATACAAAAAAATATTTTTGAATTATGATTGTGATGGAAATTGCACAAAACTTTTTACATATATTTTCCTGCACAGCAAATTGATTGAATAAACTTAACAGATTAATTAATGATTATACATATATTGTGTTCAACATTTCTATAGCATGTTATAAGCCACATTTACAATAATATATCAGGTTATGCTAGTTTAAGGAAAAAAGCAACATGAATATCTTGTTTATTTATAATGAAATTATTACTAAAAGAAATGATAAAAAGCAACTAATAAAATTAACTAATACAATTTCCCTAGCATATCAATATTAAGTTTATCATATTTAATCAACTCATTCTAGAAAAATACCACAAACAAAATGTAACATATTTTATTTCAAGCTAAAAAGATGTTGGTAAATGAAAAATGTTTCAGTATTATGTCTAAAAAGTCTAAATTTATAAATTAATATTTTAAGAGTCTGTTAATCTGGCACCCTCTGAAAAAACAGTCCAATATATTACTATTTTGCAAATCAGAATTTATTTGGACACAAGATGCACTGAAGATCTCAGGTGGGGTATGGCCAACCACACTGCTACATGTTAGGCAGTCAAGAGTGATATTTTTCTTGATCACAACTCATTTTGTTACAGCTTTGTTTCTGCTGGACTGAACATAGTATATACTATTACAAAATGTACAGCAACCTCTGCAATATTCAGATCATATCTAGTTTATCAATTTTTGTAAATATACAAAAATATCTGGTAATCCAGCACCATTCATCATACCGTAGGTGTCAGGTTAACAAACTTCTACTATTTAAAAAAATACATTTTATAAAGTCATATTTCCTCTTCAAAATTATAACTTATACATAGGTTTTATATTTTTAAAAGATAGTAAATAGGACATACAAAACATAAGCAAGAACTCCTACAGCCCACATATCAGTATAGAAACCAACAGGTTCCCTATCAACAATTTCTGGTGCAGCAAATTCAGCCGTTCCAGTTGATATTTTCACAACCTCTTTAGGATCTAACTTTGTAGCCAGTCCAAAATCTATCATTTTAATGTTATTTCCAGTTTTAGTTTGACACATAATATTCTCTGGCTATAAGCAAAAATCCAGTGTAAAAATTAAATATATTTAAATTACACAAATATTTTAATTAGGTAATACAACCAAATTTACCTTAATATCTAAATGGACAATATTTTTCTCATGCATATGTTTTACTCCTTCACATATTTGTCTCATATAATTGATAACTTCTGCTTCAGACATTTTATAATTATCATCAGTAATTCTTTCAAAAAGTTCTCCTCCAGCCATACTAAAAATATTTTAAAATGTTTCATAAATAAATATATAATAGAGTAATTTATAAAAAAAAATATTACATAGAAATTAAAACTGTATACATACAATTCATAAATCAGTATCATTTCATCATCATCTTCAAAAGCATCATGCAATCTAATTAATTTAGGATGATGTAATTGATTCATAATATCTATTTCTTTCTTAATTACAGACTTCTCCAATGGGTGTGTTATTGGGATAAATTTAGCAGCAAATATGTTTCCTGTACGTTTTTCTCTACATCGATGAACTACACCAAAGGCACCTCTGTAATAATGTAATAAATCAATTAAGTATCTTTTATTTTTTAAATTGTGATACTGAATATTAACACATACGTTCCAATTTCTTCTAAAATATCATAGAAGTCATAAACACTGGATGTTTTTATATCAACAGGTCCAGGAATATATTTTTCATAAATATCAAATACTATAACAAAAAATTAAATTATTTGATAAAACATTCATAAAAATAAAATTTTATTATAGAAATTAATTAAATTTTTATACCATATTGATCGTAATTTGTAACTTTGCCTTCAGGCTTGCCCCTGACTCTTCGACCAGATGCATCTATTAATTGCAAGTAAAAAAATGTATTTATTAATCATAATTATTAATGTTTTAATAAGGTTAAATTATATTTGATTGTTACTCACCAGTATATTGTTTTCGCTTATGTCTATCCTTTCCAGATTCTAGAATATATTAAGTTATTTCATTAAAAATTAATTTAATGATATATGACTAATCCTTTGAAAAACTTCACCAATTAAACTTACGCTTTGTAGTAATTACAGTAGTTGGATCACTTGGTTCACTTCTACCATAAACATTCTCTGCATATATTCTAAATTCATAATCTTTACCAGGATTTAAACCAGAAACCAAATGATATAAAAATCTAAACAAACAAATAGCTCATTCATAATTCTGAATTTACATCATTACAACATACTTTACAAAGTAAAATACTTAATACTTACCTGGTATTTCCACACCTAATCCAACTGCTTAATGGAACTTCTCTCTTCTCAATTAGATAATTAGTAACATGACTTCCTCCATCCCAAAGTGGTGGTTTCCAGGATAAAGTCACTGAATCGTCAGAAATATTTTCAACTATTGGGAATCTGGGGGGATCTGGTTTATCTGTAATATGTATTTTTGATAATTTAATTTAAATTATAAAAATGATTTTTGATTTTAATGAAATATTATAAATTGCTGTAGAATAATTTTCTAGTAAAACCTGACTAAACAGAAAAACTTTGGAATGGTGTGATTTTCTGTGTTAAATTCCACACATCCAACATGGAAATGAATAGAGGTTTTTGGATACGAAGAATGTAATTTAATCTGGATAAAGCAAACACTTAAGATTCCACTTGCAGATAAATAAGTAAAATTGTCTCCAGGTATAATGGTCATTGCAGAGCATGACAAACTGTATTCCAAGAATGATTTCAAAGCTTGTCAGAGAAACTAAGATCACATGATGAGGGGACATATGGACAGAAGGTCTTTGTTGGACTTACCCAAAGGCAGAGTTGAATACTTTTAAGAATTAAGAAATTTCAAGACTCAAATAAGTTATCCAAAACAAGCAATGAATATAACTTGATGAAAAGAATGAGAATAAGGTAACACAGTGTCAATTTGTCTTGTACGGAATAGTTAGTAACTAACTCATACCAAGGTATTCAAAAACAAGTTGATTAAAGTAAACATTTAGAGTATTAAAATTCCTCGAGAAATCTGATCACAAAATAACTTGGTCTCTGTATTACTGTATATGATCAAATTTCAGATGGCAGAGCTAATTCTTGGTACTTGAATTTGCTTGTTCACTGTTGTGTGAGCTCATAAGAATAGCATCCATTTCCTAATATTTAGCAGAAGTTCTTGGGAACAACAAGAACTTTTCACAATCAAACAGTTTTCAATTCCTGATTTGAATACTCCCGTATTTAATTGGAATCACTTTGGATTAAGACCAGTAATAAAAGTATGTGTATACAAAAGTGATTTCACTATTTAAAAAAAACGAATTTAACTGTGTGGCATTTATATAGTGTAAATTAAGGTTAAAAAAAAGAAAAAATAGTAAATACTGTTCAAAATGTAAAAAATAATTCAGTACTGTGCAATTCCAGTTTACACAGGTTTTACTATAAATGATAATTAAACCTAGCAAAGAAATATTTTATGATAAATGTGATGGTTTTTTTATGATCTAAAAATTGGAGAAATTATATATTAACATACCACTAATCTGTATCTTAATAATTGCTGAATCAACACCCAATTCATTTTCTGCAACAAGTCTGTATGGACCACTGTCCAATTTTGTAACATCACGAATGACTAAAATAGCATGACGTTCACCAAGCTGTACATCATAATGACCACCACTCTCAATTTCTTCTCCTTCCCTTGACCATTTTAATTTTGGTTTAGGGAAACCAGTGAAAGGTATCTTAAGAGTTATATTTTCTCCCTTCTCAAAGTTAGCTAGTTCTCGGAATCGTGGAGGAACATGAATGTGAGGAGCAGCTATTAAATTTGTAAAATATATATTAATAAATTTTATCCAAATGATTATATTTTTATATTAGTTTTACATTAAACTCTTACTCTTAATAAGTAATTCTGCTCTGGAAGTTCTAGTTCCACCCTTATTGCTTGCTCTACAACAATACTCATCAGCATCTTCTCCATAAACTTCAGAGATAACTAAAGTATATGTTTCTTTATCTCTCAACATTGAATACTTTCCTCCTTCAAATAATTCTCGCATGCCTTTGTACCTGAAATAGAGATAATTTCAAAATTTATATACATATTGTTAATATAATTTTAGAACAATTTCATGCAAGTCATAAAACCACATAATCTTTATCATCATCTTATACTCTTTCTATTAATTATTAACTCTTATAAAGTAATTTTTAAGTATTTTGCTTCAACTGATTTATTGAATTTCATAAAATATCTTTGAAATATAAATAATATATTTTTGGAAAAACTTTTTATTAAATATTACTGATGATATTTCTGTTATACTATAATAATAATTTAAGTGTTTATCGAAAATTTTTAAAAGTCTTAAATTTTATTTGATACTAAATATAAATAAAAATGTGTGGCTTTATTAAAAAAATTAATAATACAGTTATATGTAACTAATAGATTATAAATATCTTTTAAATTAATTCATTGTGTAATTATTATATAATCTGTAATATGGTTGTATCTAAATTTTCAAAAAGTTGAAAGTGAAAGAAATCAACTGTATTAGAATTTTAGACATATAAATAAAAACACTATACCAAGTAATATGGGGCTTTGGATTTCCAGTAACTCTACAAGAGAATTCTGCTCGTTTATTCTCTACAGCCATAATTGTTCTTAGTGGCATAATAAACTCTGGTGGTTGTGGTGCTAAAATTTTAAATAACATAAATTATAAAATATTCAAAAAAATTTTAGATTATTAGTGTAGTAGTAGTAACACTAAGTTTGAACTTACCATTTGGATCTTTAATATGTATAGAACTAGAGTTAGAGGATGGTGGACTGGTTCCAGCTTCATTCACAGCAAAAACACGAAATTCATATTGTCGCTCTTCTATTAAGTTGGAAATATTAATCTGAGTTGTAATGCAAAGATTTGGATTCACTCTCTGCCAAGTATTTGTTCCCACTTCTTTCTTGTCAATCCAATAACCTTGGATACGACTTCCACCATCAGATTCTGGTTTATCCCAAGAAAGATTGACAAAATCTCCTCCTACTTCTGTAACAACTGGAACTCCAGGAGCAGAAGGTGGGTCTTTAATAATTTTAATAAAGTTTTTTTAATCTTTTTAAAGATATTGCTATAGTATTTTGTAACAATGCATGTTTACTATGATAGTTATTTTGATAGGATAAATAGTATAAAGTTACATTTTAATAAATATTTTCTCTATATAGAATTATTTATAATAAAATAATTTATTAGCTAACAGATGCATATAAAAAGAATTACATAAAAAACTTTGTTATGATGTTGAAAAAATTGGACATTTGATAAAGAGCCATCTTTGAAATTAATTCAATGAAAAATACTGACATAATCAAGAAATTGTAATTCTAATAAATGTTTTTGAAGCATCTTCAGTTTATCCTCATATATCATCTAGTTTTGAAATTACAACATAAAAGTTGCCTAGATTTATTAATGTTGCTATGGCTTATTAAAGATTCTATCTGAAGGTAAATATTTCTGAATTATTGAAACATTAAAAATTGCATTGTGTCAATCATTTTTAATTTTAAAAAATTACATGAATTCCATTTCAGACCAGAAGTTCATATATAATTAATTGGACCTCCAACTCATAAGCTTTCCATATCTAGTCTCTATTTGCATCTAACTCCATTTTTTAGATTAACAAAAAATGGATGAATGGATAGGCATATGACAGTGGGAAATTATAGGTCTGCAATTTGAAAATTGAAGTTCAAACATCTTTGGGCTTTAACAGAATCAAGAAATGATAGTTTTATTGATTTATTTTGATTGGACATTGAAAGAATATTTTTCAGTTGATTTACATTCTTAAATCCTTTAATCACATAATCAAACCAACGATTGAGTATGAAATCTGTTATAATTACGTTTAATATCATTAGATGATATCTCTTAATGATCAGCACTGAGTTTTAAAGTGTTGATCTGATATACTATTATTCTAATTTTTAAATAAATAATAGAATTCTTCAATCTAATGAAGCATGAGCAAATATAAACCATATGATTTTTATTAAATTAAATGATTGAAATAAATTTATGATACTTTTGCCTACCATAAGGTGACTTGACAAGAACTGGATTAGTGCCATCCAAAGGTTTGCTTTGTCCATTTTCATTGACGGCCATTACACGGAATAAATATTCTCCACCCTCTGTTAATCCTTGAAGAGTACAAATAGTATCCTAGAAAAATAAAATTTATAAATTATTATTTATCCTTAATATTCAAAGTATCAAAATCAAATCAACTCTTACTTTACAGTAACTTGATGCAATCACCCATTGATTTCGACTAGTTTCTTTGCGCTCAACAATATAATGAGTGACTTTACGGCCACCATCATAAGCAGGTGGTCGCCATGCTATGGTAGCTGTATTTTTATTTATATCAGACACTTCTAATGGACCTTGAGGTGGTCCTGGTAGACCTAAAATTGAAGAATTAAATATTTAAATATTCTCATTTGCAACAGATCATTTAGAGTCAAGCAAATATATTTATACCTGTCACATGAAGAGAAAATGAGCCACTGTCAGATCCACTTGCATTAGTGACTACCAACTTATATTTTCCTTCATCCTTTTTCAAAGCTTCACGCACAAATATTATAACATAATCATCAAAAACTGTAAATTTAAGATGAGGACTTTCTTGTACTTCCAAACCATCTTTGAACAATGAAATTTCCAATGGTGCTGTGCCTGAGAAAAATATCTTAACTTTGCCATTATCATTCTCTGGAAAGTAAACTTCATTTGGACATCGTTCTATTTTTGGTGGAGCTAAATTAACAAAAAGTAAATATTTTTATGTTTAAAATGTTTGAATAAATTATAAATTTGAGATGAATAAAAATCTTCTTACAGGCAATAGTTAATTTAGCAAAACATCTCTCTGAACCAAGTGGATTGCTAATTTCACAAGTATATTCGCCTTCATCTGATTCCCATATTTCTGAGAATATAAGCTTGTAAACAGCATCTGGTGTTGCTACTGCCTTAATACGTCCAGCAGGATGAATTTCTTGGCCATTCTTAAACCTGTCACAAAATTATGAATAAATCTATTTTTATAGTAACGTTTGATTGCAAATAATTTATAGAAATGTCAACTTTACATTCAGAAATAATAATCAGAGAATAAATTTAATTACCATCTTGCAGTTGGAATTGGTTTACCACTTCCTTCACATTCAAATGTTAATCCTTTGTTGAGACTAGTATTTTTGTTAATTAATTTTCTTATAAATTCTGGTTTTGCTCCATCTGATAATAAAATATTAATAATAAAATTAATAATATATCAAAAATTAAGTATTATATATAGTAAAATAAAAACATACCAACAACATCTGTCACTTTAACAGGAGAAGTACATTGACTTGGTCCACTTTTTCCAGCAGCATTGATCGCATATACTCGGAATTCATAATTATTATTTTCAGTTAAATTCAAAACTGTGTATTCACAGTCAGTAGGAGTATAGTCATTGGCTTTAATCCATTGTCCTGTTGGACTAGATAAATCACGTCGTTCAATAAGGTAACCTGTGAAAAATTGAAAAGTTTCATTACTTTGGCTTTCTATCAGATCATTTAGAATAGCTTACAATGTACATATACAATAATATAATTAATATTGCTAAAAAGACTTATATATCAAGTGTTTTGTTAAAGAGTACTGTTCAAACTAGTTACATTTTACAATCACCACAAAGCAACAAATGCGTAAAATTGCATTTTATTTATTAGAAAATAAATAAATAATTAATGGAACAAACAAATTGGAATTATGAATTCCAATTTGTTTCATTGATAGAAAACTTGTTATTTAATGGTTTAACAAAATTTTTTCTTCTTTTTATTAAAATGCAAAATTTCATTTTGTTAGACTATTAATCACTCCCACACTCAATGAACCATTATCTCCAGTAATGCTTACATTTTTGGGAACAAACGTTTGAAATTGGAACAAATGCACATGCTATGGAGCGTTGGCAACTTCTTGCTCTTCACATATGTGAAATTCGAAATTATAAACATATTTAACCCTTTAAATTTTTAATAAAGTTAATTTCCTTTAACCTAAGAAACTTGACCTTAAAGAAACGAAATATAAAATACATGAGAAAATTTTAACTCTTTCTATTCAATTATAAACATTCTCACAATCAAACCGTGTGTTGTTTATAAGTATCGGCGAAATTCGTCAGATTGTTGTCATGTTAACACCAACTTTAACCCCATAACTGCTAGGACAATTGGTCACCTGAGAAATTTTCTCATCAAAAAGGTATAAAAGCCCGTCTCCTTCCCCTCTCGGGGGAGTGACTGATCAGGGAGTTGCCGACAGATGGCCAAGACAGACCATCACTTCCCTCTGACCTACCGTACAACATTTATCGGAAGACCTGGTATTTCAACTCGATCAACCTTCCAGAAAGTAAAAGCCCTCCAAAATAATTGAAAGAGGTATGAACGCTTTATTGTAAACTCTCTCTCTCATACGCGAATTAGAAAGAGTTTTGTAAATTTAAGTTCGTTAAGTAGTTAAATAAACTCTTGTTTGTTTTTCATGGTGTCTTTATCCGACTATGCCGCGTCTTATCATCGACCCCTCTGACACTCCTCCACTCACATACGCGTAACTGAGCGCGTAACAGATCGTAACGTCATCCTTGACAAGAAAGTAGGTCAGAGACAGGTGGCCTGAAGGAGAGGACTCCTCCTCCCTCCCGGTGGCTCACACATATGTAGTGCCAGACGGCAATGTGCTATGCAAAGAGCAAGAAGTTGCCAATGCTCTATAACATGTGCATTTTTTCCAATTTTATTTTGAAACTCAACATTTGAAGTTCCAAGGAAAGTCATTCTAAGTTTTGAATCCTGTTTTCAATTAATCTGAAGCAGACCTTGGGCGAGGACGAAAATATTTGTTCCCAAAAATGTAAGCGTTACTGGAGATAAAGTTTTGTTGAGTGGGAATGTTTATTAACACCGGTAATCAGATTAAAAGTTATTGTTAGACTATTATATTTGGAGATCTAAAACTGCAAAAAAATTATATTTTAAATTTCATTTATTCAGTTAATGAAAATAAAATGTCCAAACTAACAAACAGAATGATCATTTGTTTCTGCTTCACAGAAAAATGCCTAAACATACTTTAACCAAACTTCATATTTTAAATCTGTTGATTCAAGAGAAGGTTTATACATACATATGATCTTAAAATTTACATTATATAAATTAAACTATAATAAATATCATGCATCTATTAAT